AAGGTTTCCAGATGGATATGCGGAGCAAATCCATCTGGCGGAGTCAGGTTAGTCCAGAGGCGGAACTGAGAGGATATCCAGGCAGGCAGACATAGGATGGGATCAGGCAGGCTCGGTATCAGGGCGCAGAATGGGTCAGTTAACAGGCGGGCAGAAAGATAAATTAGATCATACTGGATTAATTTTACCGGGTTGGTATGAGATAATCTGGCACTGAGGACTGGTCTGATGGGGATTATAGCGAGGGAAACCGGTGAAGTCTGTGAGAGATGATTGCGGACGGGTGGAGCAGAGCAGGTGGATGGACTGATTGATCAGCCCAGCATCAGTGCCGGGATCTTTTTTTTTTTTTCATTGTTGTCTTTTTTTACTATCCCAAAGTCTTTCTCTCTATGAATGATAACAGATTAGATTAACAGGATCAGAAAAGATGAATTATCACCATAGACTAATTAGTCCCAAACTGCTTGTGACTTCGATGAACAGGCTCCAACATGTATTGCTATCATTACTGCTGCTTGCCAAGGCAGCATAAAAAAAAATGTCTTGAGAGCTTTACTGAACGAAATTTATGTTTGTATACACTTGTGCGTACAAAATGACGAATAAAGTCTGTCTAAGTCTAATTTGTACTGCGTGAAATAACCAGATTTACAATTCAGGTTTTCTCTTTATATATTTATATCACAAAATTATCTTAGCTGTAGATACCTCAATATATAATTAATGACAAATTCAAATTCTCTTTTGAGTTCACCAAACATTTTAAACGTCTTTCATCCAAAAGTGTGCTGATAGCTCTTAATCATCTCTCTGTTCCGTCTGTAAATAAAGCCTCTGTGTCACTGGGTTAGAACCTGGCTGTCTGGGACTTGGACCAAAGTTTACAAACCATCAGTCATTTTCTTTTGCTTGATCTGTAATCCAATTTAATTGACAGAACAACTTAACTGACAGAACAACAACTCAAATAAAAAATGAAATAAACATGCCTTTTCACAACTGGTGATAAAAAAAAACAAAAATTTATGCATATTGAAAATATTTGGAAAAAAACTGTCCTCAGCCACAAAAAGTGTTTTATTAGTCCTGAGTTTGGGACCTCCACCTCCATATTTTTGTGTATTCATTAAATGCTCTGCAGACTGAAAAATTATAAAGTTTTCCCTCGCTGCCACATTGGCATTCATGAGTCCATGCTGTAGACCTTACTTGGTTTACAGCTAAGAGAACTTAACTGTAAAATTTTGAAAATGCGATAAGAAACAATATATTTTATTAGGTTGTACACTGCATATCTTCATATATAAGAGACTTTATACAGATGAGTATTTGAGCTGAATATTTTATAATAACTGTTAGTGTTAAACATTATGTAGTTTGATGAGTCTTTACAAAGGCCATCAACATTTTGAAAGTTGTACATCTAGCTTTAGTTATCTTTAAAAAGTCCTTTTCAGCTTCATTCATATTAAATATAATTTTCTAACAACAAAATTGTGGCTAGTGAAAATGTCTAAATGGCTAGTAACTTTCGAAAACCATTCAGGTGGAGTTTCTCTTCAGTTTGATTGAGGGAGGTTTTTGTAGGCCTTTTTTGCACTTTTTGAACACACAACAGCTGCCAATGAGCTGATGACCCTGAACATAACAGTAAACTCCAGAATCTTAAGCCTGAACTCAACTGATGATCCAAAGTGTAATTTATATTCCCAGAATTTGTTCCACTGAAACAATCAGAGTCCAGACTTTAGTTTAGTTAAAGGACCTCTCCTGGTTTCTGAAGCTACCAGCAGAAGCATCAACTTGTACTTGGATTCATTTTACATTTAATGGAGACAGTCTGTCCTACAACAACAGAGTAAGATTTAGGAGTCTGAGTTATAGTGATTTGTCCTAAAGATCCCAAAAATACAATGAAAAGATGAAGAAAAGTTTAGCTTCAAAAACTGTTTTCAGTGTTAAGATCCACTCTCGCTGATTTGACCGCCCCTCTAGCGTAGGTTTTAAAAACACTAGCTCCCCATATTAGCGTCCTATATCGCCGGCGGTCCGTGCCGCTCAAAGGCAAAGAGCGCCCCCAGCTGAAGGCTACGCTACGTAGCAACCAATACCCCTCCGGAGAAGTACGTGCTTGCTGGACCGAGTCAGACTGCCTTTTTCCTGCAATTCAGAAGAACTTGAACGAAGTGGTTTTTATTTTTCCTGCAATTCAGAAGGACCTGAACGCAGTGGGTTTTATTTTTCCTGCGATTCAGAAGGAGCTGGACGCTGTGTTTTTAATCCTTCGTGCAATTCAAACCGAGTGAAACTCAGTGTATCCCGAATCCTGCTGCAGCAGAGACAAAGAGGAGATAATCCAGCTCTGCTAACCGCCGAACGACAGGGGCCCCGATTGTTGTTCGCCAACGTAGTCGCTAGAAGCCGCCAGACCGTGACCACCTGTAAGAAAGATGTTATTCCCTGCAACTGTTATCTGGGGGATGGGTGTTATTCCCCCAGGTTCTGTCCTTCCTCCGCAGCCAGAGCAAAAAGCTCCCTTTCTCCGCCTCCTCAGTTGGTTCCTTTGTTGCCTTCCTCAGCCTTCCTCCCGTGACTCCCACGTCTTTCAGGAGGCGTATGGTCGACAACCCTGTGAAGCCTCGGCATCCAACCTCTACTGGGTAGATAGAAGTCTTCCAGCCCGCCTCCCGGCACTCCGCAGCCAGCTCTGAGTACTTGACCTTCTTTCGCTCAAAGGCAGCTTCGATCCCTTCCTGAAATTATTACAAACTTTACCTCTTATTATCTATCAGTACTATAACAGTCAGTGTATTACTGAAATCCTTTACTTTTGCCATAAAGTTTCTTAACAGTATTATGAACATTTTCAATGGACAAGTCATAGTCCTGCCTCTATAATGTTTCAATGGTATGAGCTTTATTTTACTGATGGAAAGCAGGCCTTCCAACCTCAAAGTTTTCAAGGACTTCATTAATGATTAATCTTGAAAATATTGTTGAAAGGTTACTAAAAGCTGTTCAGCAATTTAAATAAGGGTCTCAAAACTGTAATACTAAATGAAAATGTCATCCAAACCAAAACTCTTCATAGTGCTGTACAGTGGGGCAGTTGTTTATACTGGTGCCTTACATCAACATAGTTCTAGCATCCCGCCTGGGGTTTTTCTGTATGTAACTTCTATGTTTTCCAAAGACCCGCTATGGAATACAGTTCATATAATCCCAGCTGGGTTAATTGGGATCATTCTGAAAAACTCTTTGTCTAAAAGACCATTTCAACCTAAATTACATAGTACACATCTACAGTAGAATAAACCCTGTAATTAACCCACTTAAAATGTTAATCTTGTCCACTGTTAATTATAAAAACGTTTTAATCTTGAATAACTATTTCACCTTCACTAAATGATAAAATATGCATATATAATTTTGTTCTTAAACCATTTTCTCTCTCGGAGTCATGTAAATTTCAAAAAGTTTATATCAAAAATGTACAAGACAATGTAAATTAAGCACAGTTTAAGTAAGTGATTCAATTTCGAACTGTTCTGTACTGTGTTATACACTAACAATGTGACAACAACTCAAAGTCAACCTTATTTATATGGCCCCAGTGAAACATAGCACTGGAGTTTTTATAACTTAAAAATGTAAATGTTAAACTAAATATCTCTTAAAAAAATGTAACAATTAATTTAATATACTGTAACTGAGAATGATGAAAAGCAGAAACTGTTACTATCAACTGTTACTATCTGGGGTTTATGCAAAACTTCTGCCTCGATGGAACTGTGGATCAGTTCCTCTGTTGCTGAGGGAGGTTTTTGTACGACGTTGTATCACTGTGTGAACGGTGTGTTGTAATCTTGCTGACAGTGATAAATTCCTGCATCTTCACCCTGAACTCTGCTGATGGTCAGAGTGTAAACATTTCCAGAACGACTTCCACTGAAACGATCAGAAACTCCAGGCTGACGGTTTGATACTTGATAAATAAGAAGTTTAATTGCTTCCCCAGGTTTCTGAAGGTACCAGTCTACCTCATTGCCAACATTTTCATTAGCTTTACATGTAATGGTGGCAGTCTGTCCTTGAACAACAGACAAAGATTTTGGAGTCTGTGTCATGATTTTGTCTCCTGATGAACCTGGAAGAGAAGAATAAAATATGCATTGGTGTTTTTCTCCATTGTAAAGCTAAGCTTTGAGCAGAGAGTCTCACCCTGAACCAGGAACTCCAGGATGGTCAGCAGTAGAGTCAGTAACATCATCATTGTGCTGCTGGTGGTTCAGTG